TGTCAAGACCACAATTTCATCCCCAAGATTAAATTGGCATTGTGCAGGAAAAACTACATTTCATGACTGCTGTACTTCAGATGGCTCAAAAAAGAAAGTTTTGGTTATGTATATGCCAGGAGAGAAAGCTTAAATGGTTTAGCTCCAAATCAAGTAACTAAAAGAAAAAAAAAAAACCCTCACTGTTCAATCTGTGTAAAACAGTAGCATCTTTATATGTGAAGGCTGATTGTTTATAAATTTATTTTGTCATACTCAGTAAAAACACTGGCTACCTGAGACTTCACAAGTTCTGAGAGCAGAGAGAATTGGTTGAAGGCTATTATATATATCTACCACCTCATGAAACTGGTTTTACTCCCCATCTCTGTATTTGTGTGTATGTACTCATGCCTGGCTATCTAGTCCTCTTTTCCTGGGAAATCGGCATTGCATGGTGGTTAAGAGTACGGGCTCTTGATCTTCTCAGATTCAGATCTAATTCCCACTTAACCAGCTGTGAGATGTTGATCAGGTATTTTACCTCTCTGCCTCCTCTGTAAAGAGTAACACCGTCATACCTGATAGGGCTGTCGTAAGGACTAAACCATATCTTGTGAAGACTGGAATAGTGCCCAGCTCAGGAATTTTTTGGAATGGCCATTACTAATATAAATGGGCACACTCATACAACTTGCTTTTTTCATTTAACAGTTTACCTTAGAACACTGCCTGCCAGTGCAGATACATGGCACTTAATTTCACTGGAAAATGTTCTATAGGTATATATCTACCATTTCCTTTAAGAACTATTCCCTCCCAGGTAGCTTTTGTTTTGTACTGTAGGATAGGTTCTTAGACGTTTTAACTGCCCGGCTAGTGGATATGGTCATTCATAATGAGAGATACTGCCAGATTGCTTTCCAAAAAATCAAACTAGTTTACCCACTTGTCAACAGGATATAAATGCCTGTTGCCTGACACTTTTGCTACTACTGGATATTATCAATCCTTAAAGTTTTTGCAAATATAGGGGGAAATAGTAATCACTATCATCTCGTGGTTTTAAATTGTGTTCATATGATTATCTTTTTATATTTATTATGCTCATCTATTCTTGTTTAAGGCCTAGTTGATTTCTTCTGTTGTTTTTACTGTCTTTCCTTTTCTGTCTGCAATGTCTTATTGTTGAGGTCTGTCTCAACAGGGCTTTTTATGTAGACAAACATCGTTGGAAACACCTCACAGAGTATATATATAATTTCCTTCACTTAGAGAACTTTGTTAGGTCTGTGAGAACTACAAGGCAGGTATGCTACACCTGTGAAAGACTGGTATTTGAATTTTATCTACTCTTAGGTATTTGCATATCCCTATGATCTTTACTCTTCTAGGGTGTGACAGCTTAGGAGTTAATATGATTTCAATTTAATGATGGCTAGAAGATGACTGAAATTGAGAACCAGGCATATCCATCTAACCTGACCCTAAATGTGGCCCCAAAGTAAATTGAAGAAACTGGATCCCAGAGATTACAGGAAGGGAATTTTTAAAGTATGTCTATATTCAAGTAGATGTCAAAGAAGCCTAACGAAAAGAATTTGGGGCTGAGAATGACAACTGTGGATTGAGCAGTAGATGATTTTAAAAGGGCTGTTTTAAAGATTATGACTCAAACCAATCTTTTAGTTTGGAATCAAACCTACGAAGTCTGACTTCCTAAAGTCTGACTTCCTAAGGTTGGGAATCTGATCTTTTCAAATCCCACCCCCAACCCCAAGCCCCTCGCCTTCCTAATTGCACTGTCCCTTTATTCCTTAAGTGGTGTATAAGCAAAGGCCTCCGGAGTCAGGCTACTGGCTCCCTACCCAACCCCACATACTTTTTGGACTCTAGAATATAGAGAAATGCTTTCATAATTGCTCATAACAACAGTTTGGAGGAACTAAGATAATTGACAGTGGAGAAATCACAACGTGAAAATTTTTTAAAAAATGTATTGACTTAAAACAAGTTTTTCTTACTAATTTGTAGGCACTCCTACCTAATATGTTCTGCATAGTAATCTTTAGTGTGTTTATTGCCTGATGCCTGTGTTTTATTACTTTTTATGTTCTTTTGTAGTATTAAATTATAATTTTAACATAATCCAATTTGTCAGAGTATTATGGTTTTTGGATTTGATGTTTTGCTTAGGAGACCTTTAACATCTGAAGTTATTAAAATATTGCCTACATTTTCTTCCAATATTATTATTCTTTAAAAAAGCTTTAGGTCCTTAAGCCATTTGGAACTTATATTTGTTTATATATATGGAGAGATATCCATCCCAACAAAATCAGCTTTTGGAGTTTTACTTAACATTTTTTAAACCTTGGAATTGCACTGAGTTTATAGGGTACCTGGAGGGTGGCTTCAGGATTCATTCATACATGTAGATGACACTATAGATTTACTCAGGATTGGCTCATTGTAGTGCTTTATGTAAGGCACATGCGAAAGATCTGAGATGTGACACGTTTCAAAGCAGATTTGGAATGGGATTTTTATTTCATAGCTATGGGAAATTCCATTTTCATGCTGTAACTCTTCAGTTCCGTTCTACAAGCACTTAGTGAATATTGCTCTTAGCTATATACTGTACATAAAATGATTAATAAGATGTATTTTCAATGCCTCCAGAGCTTAGAGTCTAATGGGAAAGACAGATATGTAGACAGATACTTTGTAATAACTCAGGTGATAAGTATCTGTACGGGAAATTCCTGGACTGCGAAAGAATGCACCCAACACAATGGAAGTAGGACTTAGGAGGTGAGGTTAAGGCTTCTCGGAGGAGGTGATTTGTGACTTACATCTTGAAGGAATGATAGCAGTTAGCTGGGTGTAGGGTGGCATTTTAGAGAGGGTGAAGTGGTATATGTGTATTTTCTCTAATTGTTTGTTCTAGAGTCCAAACTGGATGTGGGGTTGGCTAGGGAGCCAGTAGCCCAACTGTAGGGGCCTTGCTTGTGTACCAGGCTGAGTCTGGCATTTGTACTGCAGATAATCAGGAACAACTAAAGATTTTAAGGAGTGGAGGGATGTGAGAAGCAGGTTTGCATGTGAGGAAGATCACCTTACGGCATTTTGAAAGATGGACTTGAATGGAGTTGAAGCTGGGATGGGTTCAGGGAGACCAGTTAGGAGGCTCTTTTGGCATCAATACAGGCAGGTGAGAGAGAGGGCAGTCAGGAGGAGGGAAAGAGACACGTGAGAAATGTGAAGGAAATAAAATCAGCAGGGCTTTGGGAGGAGAAAGGGAGGAATCAGAGTTAACACCCAGGTAAGAGCTTAGGAGACTTGACTGGCTGAGTGACTGCAGACACAGGCAGGGGCTGAGTTTGGTCAAGGAGGCAGTGGGATGAGAAGTCAAAATCGAGACAGGTCTCACCTGTGGGGTACACAAGTGGAGATGAACTGGCAGCTGATTTTGAGGTGCTGGAGAAAGTCCAGAACAGATCCTGATTTGGTAGCTCCGACTGTATTGGCAGTTATTTAAACAAGAGAAGGGGATATGAGAGAGACTAATCGTATGGATTGGCAGGAAAAGCAAGCCAAGGTCCAAATTCCTCAGAGGAAGCTGGCCCCAAAAAGCTAGTGCCACTACCACACAGAAGTGGGGTGACAGAAAGCACAGCTCCAGCACCCAAGGCCCTTGGCTGCTGTGTCCTTACCGCCTGGAAGGACACGGACAGAGATGAGAACTGGAAAGCATCTTAGAAGACAGGCAAGGGGTGTTTCAAGAAGCTGAGCACTCCACCGAGGAGGCTGAGAGGCAGGAGTGTGGACGTGGCCGGCCAAGACCTGTGTGGAGCAGGCTGGAGCATGGCCTTAGTTTGAGGGGTGAATGGGGAGGTGAGGAAACGAGATGGCAAGTGTGGGCTGTGGCGAGAATCGGATGAGAAAGGAACGGAGGACTGCAGCTGTGCAGTGCAGCCTGGGGGGTCTAGGGATGCTTATGGTATGGGAGAAAGTCCCGGTGAAGGTGACGGTGCAGGAGGGTGGGGGAAATCCTGGGTCAGCATTTAACTCACCATCACATACCACCGCCCCTTAGAGCTCTCCCATTCAGTTGCTGCCATGTCCCCACATGTCCCTGGCTTGCTTCTTACCTGCACTGAGGACGCGAATCCATGACTCCTTTGGAATGCTCCTGTCTCTCTCCATTCTTGCAAGGACTTACCCTCAGCGTTTCCATGCCCTCACTCTCCAGGCAATCCCATCCACCCATTTGCTGGAAAATCCTGAGTCCATACTCCAGCCTAAAATCTCAGCCTCCTGTGTCCCTCCATCCAGTCCATTCCTGGCCATCCTGTCTTACGGTGACCTCATATCTGCACTTGTTCAGGATTGCTCCAATCATGGACACTTTCCTACACCTCTGCCACAACACACACACTCTCGTGCTATAGATTTGTTGTGGCGCCACTTAGGCTGAAATCTTCCCTTAGCCCTTCAGGGCTTCCCTGGTGGGCTCTTCCCCATCACAGCACCTGCTACACTGCACCGTCGCTACCATGGGCACACCTGTCACCCTGGCAGGAATGTGGACGACCAGAGGGCAAGGTCGATGCTCTTACGATTCCATCCTCTTTGTCTAAGGATACCGTAGGATATGGATCAAAAGCACACGATTGACACCCTGCAAAGGAGGGAAGGTCACTATTCTCTGGGCCAAGGGTGAAGGCGGCAAGAACAAACCACTATGCACACGGATTTATGGGCTATGCAGGAAGTTGGGGGTTGGGGTGCAGTTTTCACAGTAAAGGATGTAAGATGTTTTACTGGGAATGGGGGTGAGGGGCTTAGGGGGCTTGAGAAGTACTGAAGAAGGCATCAGGCTGAGGGGCCTGCTTGGGAGGGAGGCGAGAGGACGGCTGTCCCCTTTAAGGCTGAAGCAGCCTGTGGGCCTATGCCAAGTTACTTTCTAACCCGCCCCTCAAGCTCTTCCAGATTTTGGATGTCTCTCCTGTTCACTCTAGTCAAGGACTCCTTCAGGGTGGCTTAGGTCTACAAACCAGTATGTTGCCTGTAAGCTGTGAAGTGATTCCGTCGTCCCATGACAAAAATGGTAGGATCTAAAACAAAATCTTAGTGTGGGAGCTAAAAGGTGTCTTGCGTCGATCCCTACTTAGTTAGTCTTCTATTTCTCAATATTTAATACCTGTGAAAAAAAATAAAGATGGAGATAAAACTCTTGTGCTTTCTTTTCTGAGTGAAAAATGCCCATATTTCTTTCAATAATAAAATAGGCTTATTTGAAAATGTTATGAACACAAAGTTGTGAACTTAAAACTTCAGGTTCGCAGATTCTGATAATAAAATAATGGTAACTTTTAAATGAAAGAATTTTCTAAGCACTACTTCTCTTACCAAACGCTTGAGACCCACTGAAGAGCAGTGCTTTACACTTACCATGTATAGACACACACACATATGTACTTATATACACGTATTCTACAATAAAGTGGAACACCATTTTTAAAGTGCTGCATCTTTGTAAAATGGGAATATGGGCCCTGTAATGGCACTAAGTGAAATATTCAAAAATGAATTAGAAGAGGGAGTGGCTGTGATCCACTTGCTATCTTTTCTTTGGGAGGAGAGTGATCAGGTACCAGACTTATGCAAAACAAATCTGTTCCATTTGCTCCAGTGGGTCTACATGCTGCAGGCAGTGTGGAGTCTTCAAGAGTATCCCTTGTGGTTGAGGACATGCTACTATTATGGTAAATGTACATATACTATCTTTCTAAGACAGCCAGACCCCAGTTTTTCTCAGAAGTATCATTGCAAGTGGCTGCAATTTTATACTGTAACTATATAGTCTTATGTAGAAGGAAGCATCTTACTAAAATGGCCCAAGTTATTACTCCAGCAGAAGATACTACCTCTACATTCCTTGTACTAAATGTAGTCCATGAATTCTTTTATTGTTTTATTTATAATAAGCATATTTGATAACATCCTATGCTTCAACTGATTTCTCAGACAAGCTCTGAAGCAAATCTTTATAGAGAGCAGAGCTCATGAACCGGGGGTATGAGTCTCTGTGCATTAAGGTATAAATCTGCAGTTGTGCATCATCAAATATGTGCTGGGATGGTTCCACCATGTTCCTGTTGATGACTTCTCTTACTCGGGAGTTTAAGCTAACATGTCAATAGAAGCAAACAGGAGTTGTATTAAATATGTTTCTCTTTGGAAATCCATCCAAAACTCCCATACCTTGTTTTACCTTTTAAAAATTCCAAATCAAACAAGGTCCTCCAAGAATCTGAACTGCTGAAAGAGAAACCGAATGCACGATGAACATGGTTCTCAGTTCTCCACGGCATTAGAAGCCCCTGGAAGCCTTGTCAAACAGCTTGCTGCCCCCACCAACTTCTTCCCCCACAGAGTTCTGTCTCAGGAGATCTACAGAGAAGCCTGATAATTAGTATTTCTTACAAGTTCTAGGTGATGTTGGTGGGGCTCACACTGCTTCAGAAAATCACAGTGCTGTGTTGCTTCTTTAAAATGAATGTACTATTTTAAAGAAAATAGTGCATATTTTCATAATACATGTAGCGTGCATAGACCTACCCCTTGCTAACTTCTTAATGACATCAGGGCTAAAACTGGAGGCTGCGGGCTGCAGCCAGCTAGAACACAGCTGCAAATTTCCAGGAATAAGTGCTGGGCCAGCTGGTGAAGTGGAAGCTGACTCAGAAGCATGGTGCAAGGGTCAGACTCAAGCGGCCTGTGTTGAAATCCCGTCTCTGTCACTGCTTGGTGTGGGGCCTTTGGCAAAGTAAATGGTGCCCTAATGAGCTCCTCCTTACACAGGGTTGAGGGCGGTAGCTGGGGAGCCTTTAGGGAGAATTCATTTAAAGTGCTTGGGATTCAGAAGTCCTTTGGAGATGCGGGTTCTCCCAATGCTGATGTTCCGCTCACCCTGGACAAAGCTGCCTCACAGACCAGCACAAGCCCCCCGGGCTCGGGCTTTTCCCGCAGGACACCAGACAGACAAGGCAACGGGCCAAACTGCAAAGATCAGCTCACATGTGTTCTCTGCTGTGCGAAGAGCCTCAGCTGGACCAGCTCTGCACCACTAGGCCAGGACAGTTTGAATGCTATGCAACGCACAAGAAATTGTTTAAGAGAAAACTGAAAATACAAGTAGCTAACTCATGAAACACTGACTTTCATGATCTATCTTGCCATGTGCATACCCACCATCCTCCTAGAAGCCCCTTTGTCTATACAAGGAAACCAAACATTCAACACAAATTCCCAACATTTCCAAATCTTTCTTGTTTGGCTTGTGGAGGAATAGAATTACTTATTTCCACCCAGTTCTGCATCCTGCTCCCCCTCCTTTTCCCTCTGGCTCTCTATTCTATTACAAATTCTTGGTGACCCCATCTCTTTAACACCTCCCAAGTCTGTCCACCTCCTCCCTCCTCTCTGCCATGGCCATGGAGGTCACCCATAGTCACCTGCTGCATTTGTTCGCCAGCCTCCTAACCTTCTGCTTCAGTCTAGTGCCTCTCCACACACCAGTTTGGCCAGAGGGACCTTTCTAACCTGCAAACTCCGTGCTGACATTCCAGCTTCATGCCTGGCACTGCCTTGTGGCTGCTCTCAGGATCAAGTCCAAAGCTTAAAGTCCCAAATTTAGACTTAGGAGGCCCTTTGCGATCTGCTTCCACTCGTTCCCCAGCTCTGCCTCACTATTGCACTCAAGAACTTAAAGAATTTGGAATTTTCCACTTTGAATTTAAAGAGAGGAGGAGCTTGGACTAGCCTGTCCCTGCTCCTGGCTGGAATAAGCTTCCCCTGCTCTGCCTGCCTAAGTGCACGTCTGCGGGTCTCGCTTTAGATTCATTCTAACCCAGAAGCCTTCCCCACCCACCCAGATGGAGGGAAAGTTCCCTTTGTGGCCCCTACACCCCGAGCTTCTTCCAGAGGCCACCCTCACTAAGGGTCCAGAGCTCAGGAATGCAGCTCCTTTCAAAGCGGGGGACTCACTACAGACTCAGCTAAGAGGAGGAAAGCTCCTGCCCTGTTGGGGAAAATGTTACAAAATCCTCTGGTTCACCAGCAGCTGCGGTACAAATAGAACCATTTCATTCCTCACAGCCTCCACATGAAGCGCATGCCTGAGCTGCTCTGCCAGATGTCTTGGCAGCCAGGTGCCTGTCCCCCCTTCAATCCTTCTGAAATTCTGGGCAGGTGATTTTCCCTTTTACATATAAGGAAACCAAGGTGCAAAAAGCTTCTGAAATACCCCCCAAGGTTATGCAGCTGTTAGATGAGAGAACTGGGGTTCAAACCCAAGTGAATCTGACCCCAATCTTAAAATTGTGAAGCTTTTACATTTCAAGTAATATATGCTTCTTTAAGAAGGAAAGGGTCATTATTCTTATATCATTTTTGCTTCACAATTTTTCTAATATGTTTTTGGTTGTATAATACTTTAAAAGACTGTTGAAAATTTTTGCCTTAAAAAATAAAAAGGAAAATCATGACAAAGTAAAAATACGTGTAAGCCATAATTTAAAGGACAAAAATTCTCATGCTTTTTGTTAATCCAAATGGAAATAACTTTCTGAACTCTATATTCATGTGTCTGTAAACTGAATCTCTTTCCACCTTCACAAACTTAAGTGAGCAAACTCAGCCCTCCTGCCTTTCTGGGTGTATGTCACCATCCTGTCTGCCCAGCTGAAGTGAACTATGCCCGAAGCAGACATGGAGGAGGCATTTGGAACTCTGGGATTTACCAGGATCAAACCCTCCTCAGGTTTCTCTTCAGCTGGCCCAGGTGGGGCCCTGGTATGTCCTGTCTGGACTCCTGGATTCATGCTCTAACCAGCCTCTGCCTCTAGTCTTCCAAATCCAGTCTGCAGCCATGTTGGCCTTTCAAAATCCAAATGTGATGCTCTAACCAGGTTAATATCCAAGGGCTTCTCAGAAAACCTCACGCTGGCCCCCAAGCCACTGCCACTGCCACTGCCACACCCCTGCCTGCTTTTAGCCTTTGCCATCTGGTCCGGTTCTCTGGGATGTCTTCATCCCATTGTATTTCTGGTAACTCCCTTCTCATCATCCCTGGTCTGCCTCTGGCCTCTTCCAGAGCCTGCTCCTCATTCCCATCCCACCCTGCTGTTGCACCTCACTTCGCCAGCCCCTAGGAACCAGGCTCTGGATTGCCCGTGAGCTACCTGACATGAGGGACCCTTCTTAACTTCTTATCTGTAGCAGCACACTGGAGGAAATGAGTGATTTTGTAACTGAAGCTACACAGCATTCCTTTTGAGATCAACCAACTTCCTAGATTCTAGATTCTAAGGAACAGACTGAGAGATGCACACTTGGTTGATTCCTCTCCTCTGGTAAATTCTGATGTAAGAAAGGGCCACGCTGGGGCGACCTCTACAGAATCAGCTTCATATTAGTGATGCTATTTCTACCTAAAAGAGACTTGTCAGCGAGCATTTGCTCAGAATAAAAGGATAACTTTACTTAAATGCTAACAGGGTGTAATATTTTTAAACAGTATTTACAATAAAGGGCATAGACTTCCCCTTCTAGAGAATCTGATGAAAGTTATGGATACTTTTGTGGAAAAACTGTACAAAATCTTTCACAGATTTTAGGGGGCACTTGGAGCCCATTGGCAGGACCACAGTCAAATGCATCTGAGAACCAAGAAGAGTGGGTAGAGTCGTTTTCTGCATTTTGAAGGAGCTAAACTGCCAGGGGACCAAAAGCTGAAATCAGTCAGTTTCAGCAACAGCCTCCTGGGAGAAAACCTTTTGGTAGGCACATACCTCTTTAGGAGAAAGGATAGAAATGTAGTTTTCATATATTTGGTTTGCTTTCTCTTTAATAACGTTTTTATTAGCTTCTTTCTTCAGTTCCTCACACGCCATCCAGAAGAGCATGTTTTCTTCACTGAATTCTGTTCGGAGGAATTCCCGGAAAGCGTTCCTTCCGGCCGGAGTGAACATTAACTGGTCTTATGACTGAGCCCAGGCGCCGACTTCTTCCAGGGTGAGGCTTGGGCTTGGTGGGGACCAAAGGGAAGAGGCACAGGGCAGCTACGTTATTGGAAGTTAATTTGAATTTCGTCAATAGAAACATCTTTTGCTCCGAGAATGAAAATGAGCACGTAGGCCCTCTTAGGAAGGGAAAGAGCCGCTCTCATTTCCTCAAGTTGTCTACGTGGATGGCGTGGCTACAGCCTAAATGCTTGCGAACCAAACTGCTAGAACTTCTAACAGCATACTTGTTTACACCTAGGCACATCCTGGGAACGTTTTTTAAATTACAAGAGTAAGGATACTCCTGTACCCATCTGACCAAAACGTCCCGGTCACCTGGGACAGCCCCGAGTCACGTGACCACTAACTTCCACAATGGCAACCGTGCAGTCTATGTATAATGTTTTTTTTTTAATTTGAAAGAGAATTTTAAAGAGACAGAGAAAATAATGTTTATGACTGTAAGTTATGAAGTGAATGTGAATTCACCACCAAGAGTCAGGTATCGCACAGCTGTGCCCACCATGGTGCAGAGTCCACGGGCTGCTCTCCTGACTTCCCCTCGTCCCAAGGGAACTGCTAGTCTTGATTTGGGGCTTACTCTGTTTTAGTTTATTTCTTACTTCTATTTTAATTATATCGAGTTCAGAAAACAGTCTGTTTGATGATGACCCTTATTATCCCTTCCCTTTGATGCACAGTTTTTACGTCTCCCTGAAGAATGTATTCTTAAGTGATTTAACTTCAGAACCACTTGCTACAGGCTGTCTTCTGCAACTTGCCTTTGTCACCCCGCACTAAGTGTCTAAGACGCACCCATGCGGCTCTTTGTTACATGACACTCGTGTAACTGTAGAATGATCAATTCCTCCAAGTTTTGTAGAACTAATCTAAAACCAACTGGATCCAGTGTTTATTTTGTAAGAAAGTTTTATGAGTTGAATTGCATATCCTAAAACAGATCTGTCGAAGTTCTAACCCACAGGGCCTCAGGATGTGACCATATTTGGAAATAAGGTCTTTGCAGATTTGACCAGGTTAAGATGAGGTCATTAGAAGGAGCCCTCATCCAATATGACTAGTGTTCTTTTAAAAAGGGGAATTTGGACAGAGACAGGCACAGAGAGAGGAAGGAGGGTGTGCAGCCACACAGGGAAAAGATGGTTGTGTGACTGGCATGATGTAGCTACCAGCCAAGAATACTAAGGATTGCTGGCAATTACCAGAGAAGATGGCAGAGGCAGGCAGGATTCCCCCAGAGCTGGCAGAGAGCGTGGCCCTGCTGATACTTTGATTATGGACTTCTGCCTCAAGAAAACTGTGGATTTCTGGCCTCAAAAATAAATAATATTAAAAATCAAGGGAAAATACAACAGAGGAACCCCATGTGCCATTTAACTCATTTCCCCCATGGTAACTTCTTGAGAAACTCTGTGTGCTGTTTTGTTTTGGACAAAACAAACTTCACAGTCCTGGACATTTTTGATGATTGAATTGATTACTCATTTTTGTGACTCTGTCTTTAATTGGTTTCATTTCAGAAAGCATTCTTTTATATTTTATTACAAACAATACTAACATTGGAAGTCCTTTGGGCTCTAAACCAAGTGTTCTTTCTACTGACTCTCATTTGTAATGGGTTGTTTTATAATTTTTGGTTGGTCTTAATCTCTGGGAAAGTGAGAGTGAAGATTGAGGATATTTTCTTTCCTCCAGAGAGGATGTGTTTGCTTCTTAGATCCAGGAGGCGTAACTGACATAAGACCGACCACCTGGCTCCTTTTCATGGAACAGGGCTGAATCTGGGCATTAGTCGCCCACTCTGCACTTGCCTGTAGAGGAAACCCTTCCTCTGCTTAGCAGTCACTACTCAAGAATTTGGCAAACTTTTTCTTTGTTTTTTTCTTTTAAGGTACTTTGTCATTTTCCTTACTATCTGGAAGGTCAGCAATGCAAAAAATTTTAGATTTATGGAAAATCTGTTGTTCTGCATCAGGAAGGGTCTTAGATAATCTACTCTGCCACACAGAGGAAAACTCTTTACTCTTTATTTAGTTTTAGGGAGTAAAGGATGTCTACCCAAGAATTTGATATGTAATAACTTGCCCTAATTATATGAAGGTCACAGAAAAACACTGTCACATATACAAAGGTTCACAATGTAAATTCTATGTCTCTTTCTTGAAATTATTACCTGCAGATGGATTATAGCTGACCCAGCAGTGAAACATAAATGACAAGCTCAAGGCCAGAGAAAACACATTAAAGAGTGTAGTCAGCAGAGAAAACAATCAAACAGATGTTTAAGTAATAGATTCAAGTCTGGTGTCAAAATTAGATTCAGTATGTACTGATGGAGCCCATTTAGTACAATTGTGTGTAAATGCATAGAAAATGCTTTTGAGAAAATTCCTGCTGATCATAGTTATATCTGGAGATTGGGATAAGGTCTGGAATTAGAGGTAGATTAAGTTTTTGCTTTAAAACTTTTGTACTGCTTGATTTTTGCTTTTAAAATGGGTATTAAAACTTTTCATCATGAAAAGTGTTTTCTGTGTGAAACAAAGTTTCTATCTTAACTAAGAAAATTAGTTTTGAAAGATAATGTTTTAAAAGATGTTTAGGAGACTCTTTTGTCCCTTCTTGGCATGAGCCAGGAGCTCTGTCCTCTCACTTTGTCTCTAAATGGAAACCTCTCACTTGCTTTCCTACCTTGAGTGTTTGCGAGGTTCTTCTTCGACTCTGTGAACAACCCCAGCATCATTTTGGGGGACTCATCCAGGATAACTTTCGAGATGGGAGCATCCTCTTCAAGTTTAAAGCCAGAAATGCCTCTGGCATGCATTCTAAAGAGTTGGGAGTTTGATCCCCAAACCCTGAAAAAAAGTGCTTTATCTTCTGCACACAAGCCTGGCCTCAATTCAAATGCTCTGATTACAGAGGCTTGGCCCCTGAGAGAAGTATACAATATAATAAGGTTATGCAGCTAAATTAATTTTGCTACAAAGAAGGAAAATAGCTAAAAGTCCTGTGGACTACTACAATATAAAACTGGTTTTCTAAATCCTTTTATTGGAAATCTATTCTACTTATTGGGTTCATAACATCCTCAAAAATTGTGAGGTTTTTAAACTAGACTCTCTGAGACAGAAATTTATCTTTTGCAATACAGCCTGGCTTTAATCTTTCAAAAGAAAAGAATGCTTAAAGAGAGGCTTGACTTTGTCAGGTTTAGTGAAGGTTTTGTAAGTAATCTAGCATGGTTGTTAAGAATGACTGAATTAAGGAAGTGTAGTAGGTGAACTTCTTAATGATTTTGTGTTACAGTGTGTTAGAGGGTATACCTACATATGACTTGAAAATCTTTGTGGTAACCTAAAACCTTAACATTTTGCTAAGTGAACATATTTTGTGCTTATTAAGAAATTGTGCTATAAAGCACATGTTTCCAGAAATTATAAAATGTGTGCATAAATGTGTCAATCTAAAGGATGCTAGTATAACAGTTTACAATAGTTTACTTCTCAGTGTTCACTGAAAACAAGTTTCTAATGGCTTTAAGTTCTAATTAAAACTACTTAAAACAAGGAGCCAAGATGGCAGCAAGAGTAGAGCAGCAGAAATCTCCTCCCAAAACCATATATATTTTTGAAAATACAACAAATACAACTATTACTAAAAGAGACCAGAAGATACAGTACAACAGCCAGACTACATCTACAACTGCAAGAACCCAGCGCCTCATGAAGGGGATAAGATACAAGCCACAGCCCAGTGGGACCGGAGCGCCCCGCACCCCAGCTCCCTGGTGGGAGGAGAGGAGTTGGAGCGGGGAGGGAGTGGAAGCCCAGGACTGTTAAATACCCAGCCCTAGCCATCCGCACCAGGAGCATAGACACACAGTGCGTGGTGTGCTGGATACTAGGGAAACAGTACAGTAAAACCTGTTAGCAGGTCCCCGCAGCAGGCACCCCTGGGACAAAAGAAAAGCGAGTGCTTTTTGAAAGTCTTAAAGGCACAGGGACCTCACAGCTGGACAGAAGCATCCTGGTGCACTCAGCCCAGCAGCTGGGAATCCTGGGGATCTCTGGACATCTTAGCCACCTGGGCAGCAGCACAGCTCTGAGACTCCTCATGGTGATAAACAGCCTCCTGCCCATTCCGCTCCAGCACGGCCATGCCATAGCAGAGCAGCAGCCTGAGGTCAGCCATGCCCACAACAGCCATGCAGAGCTCCCTCCACAGTGGCTGGACAAGAATCAGAGACCCTGTCTGCATGCAGCTGCCCAGCACAAGCCGCTAGGGGTCGCCATTCTCACAGGAGAGGAAGGCAACAAACTAGCAAGAATGGACGTTCTCCTAGCTGACACACGTGCCAACTTCCCACAACTACCTCTATTGCCATGAAGAGGCAGAGGAATTTGATCCAGACCAGACTAACAGAGACAACCCCTGAGAAGGAGCTTGGGGAGATAGACCTAACCAATCTTCCTGAAAAAGAATTCAAAATAAAGGTCATAAACATGCTGATGGACTTGCAGAGAAATATGCAAGAGCTAAGGAGGGAGACTACAGAAATAAAACAATCTCTGGAAGGACTTAAAAGCAGAATGGCTGAGCTGCAAGAGGCCATTAATGGAATAAAAATCAGAGAACAGGGATGCAGAGAAGCTGATGCAGAGAGAGATAAAGGGATCTCCAGGAATGAAAGAATGTTGAGAGAACTGTGTGACCAATCCATGCAGAGCAGTATTCGCATTATAGGGGTACCAGAAGAAGAATAGAGAGAAGGGATAGAAAGTGTATTTGAAGAAATAATTGCTGAAAACTTCCCCAAACTGGGGAAGGAAATAGTCACTCAAACCACAGAAGCACACAGAACTCCCAACAGAAGGGCCCCAAGGAGGACAACCACAAGACACATAATAATTAAAATGGCAAACATCAAGGACAAGGACACAGTTTTAAAGGCAGCTAGAGTGAGGAAAAAGGTCAACTACAAAGGAAAACCCATCAGGCTAT